AAAAAAATACTAATCACAGACTCAAACGAAACATTAAAACGAGTCAAAATACATTCTAATCAAAGTCTAAACTCAGTTAAAARGAGATTAGAATACACTTATGACAAAATAACCAACCATGAATGAACATGAACACCATATATGAACATTAAAGAGATCAAATGAACGAATGGAGTAATGAGATATAGAAATCGAATCAAAAACCTGGATTAGGAGATGAAAACGAACACAAATGATGAATGATTTAGGTCCTCAAGTAGGATCAAGCAAACGATGCAGGCGGATTGACAAGCGGAGACGACGATGAACAGTATCGAGTAAAAAAAAAATAATACGAATAGTAAAACTGTAATTTATAGTCAACAAGTCAAACCGTTCAAAAAAAAAATAACCGCTCAAAGTTTAACCGGTATATGAATAAACCGTGTAAGAGGTGTCCGGTTTATGAAAAGAATAGAAAATGAAGTGTTAAACCGGATAAACAATGAATGAATACCGCTCAAGACACATCCGGTTTATATGAACACCGCTCAAGATTCGTTCGGTTTATATGAACACCGCTCAAGACTCGTCCGGTTTATATGAATACCGCTCAATGAAGAAACCTAAACGGTGTAAATATTAAACGGTTTAAGACTTAGAAAAAGAATGTGTTCAAACGGATTATAAATCCGCACAACCCTTGCAAAAGTAAATCTAATCTTGTCCGGATAAGAGTTCCTCATATAGCCTTTTGTCCGGATGTCTAATCTGGTCAACAAACCACTCAAGCTTTGTCCGGATTTAGACTAAACTGACCAAATACTAATTTTTCAAAACTCAATTACCTTTTAAAAATTAGATATTACTTAAAATACCTGTGAAAAAGAATAATGCATATTAGTTCAAACAGATAAATTTTACTCCCTCTAAAAATATGATCAGAAAAAAAAATTCATACTCCCCCTCAAATATAGATTTCCACAATCAAGAAATTTAAAATCAGATAAAAATTGAAACACTGAATTGTATTCATAAAAACAGATATTTGACAAAATGAATTTGAATTAAATACAATTCAATA